TGACTATGGCCAATTTGAGGAAGCTGGCGGTCATCAATGGATCATTAGCTGACCACGTGAACTCAGTTGATACTTCCGAGCAGGTTCGTTGGTCACTCGTGTTCGCTTCTAACTCACAAGCACCTAGCCGGGCCACCTTCCCCCGTACACTAAATTACACCATCACCTCGGCCAAAACACCTTTACGTCCTCCAGAGGTATTACCCTCACTCTTTTCTTCACGAAATTAAACATCTCTCGTCGAACCGTGACTCGTCAATGTGAAACAATAGGAAAGGCAATCGCTACTCCAAAGACGAGAGACGTCAACAACAATACCAAGATAACTGTCAAAACGTCACCCTTACATCACAAACATAACATGAAGGGGTACCAACCGTTCTAGCACCAGGGCCAGGAGCTTTGTCTTCCAAGAAGCACGAGTGAGCTCATGATTGGATCCACGACGAGGGGAACCGTCCGCGCTCGCTCTGAGTACCTCATCCCCCGTCACACCACAAAGTACTCGGAGCCAAGCACAGCCCAAGATCATCACCCAGAAGCCAATCTCTCGCCATGCATCTGCGCTCGCATCGACCGTATGTACATAGGAAGTCGGCATTACCCGCTTGCGTAAGGAACGAGTTGACATCAACTGGAGCTACTACACTTTTCGCTACGATCTCTCCCTTTCTCTCTCTCACACACACAACTTCTGATCCCCAGCCACGTTGTGAAGACCCACCACTGCTCAGCAGGCGCAAAACGTCGCGTGAGGACGAGGGAGCAATAACCGACAACCATTGCCCCTCGCAAAACCCAGGATGCGCAGCAAGCACAGAAAACTAGGGAAGCAAGCGGCGCAAGCACGGTTGACGTCAACAAGTATATGGCCACATGAAGAGCCCTCCCCGTCATGAAGACTCATCGCGACTCAATCGACACGGAGCGCCACGTGTGGACCGCTCTCACCCTCGCTCGCGGCAGTCAATGATGACGTCACCACTCCGAGCACTCCCTGTAGCCCTTGCATGCACGCACATCCGTCCTTTCTCATCTCACGCATACCCCCGAAGGTCAACTCTCTCTCTCTTGTTCGTAGCCCCTCTCTTTTTCCTCTCCGCGACTCCTAACTGTCTCTCGGTTCTCAGTCCCTACGTCGTCGCGAGCTCACCTCGGTTCTGCCCTCCGCTGAGCCCGCCAACGGGTGATTTTGGCAAACCTGACCTGGTCTATTCCAAGACTGAAGATCAGTCTCTCGGTCACTGGCTTCGCTTTCCGCTTCCGAGTCGCGGTCCAGGTGTCGCTGCTGGCGCTCCACCGTGTCCGTCGAGGTTTCAACCTCGTGATAAATAATGGTCACCCGAACCTCGGCCGTGACCCCATCCCTCTCCATCCTTCTCTTCGCCCGGTTCTTAGATTCCATGACGGCCAACTGTAGTCTCTGGTCCCCCTTCATTTCCTATTCTCTCGCTCCCTCTACGACAACCTTTAGACTCGCCTCATCTCCCCCGCAGTAACTCAGGATCGTAGTGATCCTGGGACCTTCGCCAGACATAGGAGACCCGCGAGTAGTGTACTTCCAGTAATTCGGTCGGTAGCCGTGCAAGTCATTGCTGCGTGCCATAGGCGATTGCCAGATAGACACAGCTCGGTACTCAGCACACGTGCATGCAGGCGCATACTGCGCACCGTTCTCAGGCCAATGGCGTCAGCACAGTAAAAGTGGCCTGCACGCTGCTACCTACCCACAGCCAAAGACTCATTTGCCTCATCCCTTTATAGGCTCACCACTCGCCATGATCCCGTGTTCTAAACGAAGAGTTCAGCTTTGGCTTTTCTTTCAAAATTCCCTCACATTAATAGTTTTAATGCTCCAAAATATAAAACACAATAAAACTAAATAATCTATAAAACACGGAAGACCGAAACTCAACAGTCGAAGTGCGGGCCGAACTTACTATGCCACCATCAGTTACTAATCATCACTATGTGACCATGGTTCAAAACAGAGGTCCCATAACAGGATACCGACAATCGCTTCCCTCCCCTCAAAACGCACCTGCTGGCTTATCCCTGACGGGTACCCGTGTTCGATGGCAAGGAGGGGGCTTATGAACCTCCACGGAGGATGATAAGCTTCCTACTGATGCGGCCGCGGGTCGCCCCTCTTTTGGGGTCCTACCATGTGGCGCCTGGTCGAGCCTCCCAACGATGAGTACCAACATGACAGGCCAAATCAGTCTAGGCCACAGACTGCAGCCGCGCTTCAATTTCAAGCCGTTTGGCCTTCCCGCAAAGTGACAGAGACCAAAAGGGAAAGCCTCGTCTGGGAAACCGGTAAGATAATAATAATAATTAATAATAGTAATAATAGTAAAGAAAAGAACGAAAAACGTGACGACAAGAGAACTAGTGGCCGTCAGATTTCCCCAAATTAAGGCTGGCAGTTCAGTCGCACGGATTAGACCTTTAACTTTCTTTTCACTTCTTTTTCTTTTTATATTCCAKTTTTCSCGACAATGACCACCGCTCCAAGCATCCAACCCATAACCTTGCAGAGGGACACTCGGCACGCAGTAGAAAAAGCCGCGCCCGTCCTTCTATCTCCGCGTCCCAGGGTGAGCCTCGCGGCTACCACGATCACAGGCCAGTAGTGCTTTGCTGTACAGCAGGGCGTCGAGCCTGCGTGGACCAAAGGAAAGTCCTATGGCGCACCCCCCCCTTTTGCTGAAGCAGGCACCAACAGGACCGGTCCACGTGAGGGTACAGTCCGGGTACTAGGGTTTGTAGAGATTCGGAAACACAACCACAGGCCACAATCGTCGAAGCAAAAAGTTGGTACCATGCAGGGACTTGGTACGCAGAGGAGGGCCGGGACACCGCGCCCTCTGACACCGCGCTGCTGATGCAGCGAGGTGCCAAAATGCGCCTGGCCTTGAAAAAGGCCTGGCCCCTGCGTACGTGGTCCCTGCAGTCTGAAACGGCATCTGGACCTGCAGTCCGAAATGACGTCTGAACAGGCCCTGCCGGTACCTGTGGCCAAAAAGGTCGCTGTGGGCCTCCAGGGTGCGCGCTGGATGGCGCATGGCCTGGGGGCCCCTTAGCAACCGCCGGGCCCTTCAAAACAGGGCCCGTGTGCAGGCGCAGCATGCAACAGAGAGAGCGAGCGAGCGTGCGCGCGCGCGCAAGAGAGAGAGAGAGAGAGAGAGAGAGAGAGAGAGAGAGAGAGAGAGAGAGAGAGAGAGAGAGTTGGCATCGGGACTTGGTGACATTTGGGCATCGCCCAGTTCAGTGACAGTGCGGCTTGACATTGTGTGAACAGCGACATTTGGGGATACATTGGATACTGGGTCCATCGGGCTATGGTGACTGATACTCCCTATCTCCCTCTTCCCCTGCCGTCTCCTCTCCCTCTTTCTGAGTGATGATGTATGTTGTCAGGTCCTGTCATTGTCCATGCTGAGTCCGATCTTGGTATTACTGTCTTCGGCTGTGCTATTTTTGTATTGTCTCTGAGAGGTCAGTTCGCTTCTGATCGATGCCGATTAGGTTTGCAATAGTTTGGTATCGGAGCAGACCTCAAGACAAGGATATGCTCATCAAGTAGTCATCTTGATCTCGACTCAACTTATTGATTGATTGATTGATTGACTGATGGGCCGATTTATTGACTGATTGATTGATTGATTGATTGATTGATTGATTGAGGGGATACATTGGAGACTGGGTCCATCGGGCTATGGTAACTGATACTCCCTATCTCCCTCTTTCCCTTCCGTCTCCTCTCCCTCTTTCTGAGTGATGATGTATGTTGTCAGGTCCTGTCATTGTCAATTCTGAGTCCGTTCTTGGTATTACTGTCTTCCGCTGTGCTATTTTTGTATTGTCTCTGAGAGGTCAGTTCGCTTCTGATCGATGCCGATTAGGCTTGCAATAGTTTGGTATCGGTGCAGACCTCAAGACAAGGATCTGCTCATCAAGTAGTCATCTTGATCTCGACTCAACTTATTGATTGATTGATTGATTGACTGATGGGTCAATTTATTGACTGATTGATTGATTGATTGATTGATTGATTGATTGGTTGATTGATTGATTGATTGATTGGTTGATTGATTGATTGATTGATTGGTTGATTGATTGATTGATTAGTCCATCGTTTGAGAAATTAACTGCGAGTTGTATATTTGATTCTGGAAAGTTCGTTTTTGAGGAAATTTTAGCCTGCTGCTGTTTTCTTTCCCACAAATTTTCGTAATTCCATATTCTGAGAAACTCGAAAATTCAGATCTGATCAATACAGCATTGTGCTCCCTTTTTTAACCTCGATTTTTTCTTGAAACTTCCTTTTAATCCTTTTTCTCTGATCTCCGTACTACTATTCATCAGGAAGACACCGCCAAATCCCATATTTGCGAATGTTTTACAAATTGGGGGGGAGTTTTTTTCTTTGGTTAGTGTTGCACCTGAATAAAAGAGGGCGATCGCAGCTTGGAAATGCAAGATTGCCTGCCCGCCTTCCCCTCCCCTCGTACTTTGTTCTCAACGGCTTGGTAAGTGCCATGTCAGCAAAGAAGTGCCACATGAGCAACAGTGCCACGTCATCAGAAGTGCCATGTCAGCAGACTGCCACATCAGAGTGCCACATCAGCAGCAGGCCACGTCAGCACCAAGGCTGAGGTTGGGCTATGCTCCGACGCAGCGCAAGAATCACAGCACAACACAGCTCTGCATCTTCCACACCTGACGTCGCAGTATGTCAGCAGACTCCTGCCGAACGCCAGCAGCCAGCAACCGCAGGCATGGCCTCAGCAGCAGCAGCCGCAGTGAGCCCACCTGGGAGCACATCATCACAAGGGGCACCCAGTCTGGGCCTGCCCGGTCTGACAGGGCAGGGTCCCAACGAGACCGTCGAGGCCTACCAGCTTCGTGTAGCCAATTTCCTGACCTTCATCAATAAGGAAAAGAAGCGCCGCGATGAAGCTGAACCGCTCGCATCCGTGTCGATGAACCAGCAGCGCCGGAGCAGCGACGACAGCAGGACGAAACCGCAGCAGCGATCGACCAACTCCGGATGGCCGCTTGTACGACACTGCAGCAGCGAGAGATGGATTATGCTGTAATACTCAGAAAATGGCACTTTACACCGACGGAAAGCAACAGCAACCCGACGGACGCTGGGAAGACCAACGAGGACATCGCCATGATGATTTCACAGCTCATCGCAACGTGCAATCGGCAGCAGCAGGAGCTGCAGCGCTTGGCACGGGTGATTGACAGCAACCGGGACCAGCAAGATGGCACCAACTGCGGATTTCATACCTGCATCGGGGACCTGGAGAACTTGGACGTTGCCACACCAGGCAGCGAACCTCGCACCTACCATCCGTCAACACGACAGCTGGAGCAGCGGATTGACCATATGGTTGCCGCAATTGGCAACCTTGGCACGTTCGCGGAACCAGCAACGATCAGTCAACAGATTGCCTCGTTGACAAGCGGTCTCCGTACGCTGCAGCAGCAACCGTCAGGTAGCAGCGACCAGCATCCATACAAGATGCCAAACATCACCATTGAGAAGTTCGACAACTACACCAAGCAAGACCCGCTCGCATGGTGGCAAGGCTTTACCCGTTAATTAAGTTTCCGCGATGTCCCCGAACACCTTAAGTCGCGACACTCTACCTCAACACGACAGGTGCGTGTCAAATCTGGTTCAACCACCTCGCGGTCAAGGAAGGAGTTGACATGGACCGCCTGCATACCAACTTGGAGTGGGACACTGTGGAAGCTTTATGGAAAACACGGTTCATCATACAGGAGGAGGTCGCCAAGCGCATGAACAAAGTTTTCCAGATGCACCGAGGGAGCCAGCCGACACGTGAGTGGTTGACCGAATGGCAAAAGATCGTTGCCATTCCGGATCTGAAGTTGCCATTCACACACATTCGACGCAAGTTCTTCAAATGCTTGGTCGACTCGTTGACTCAAGCTCTTGGACGAGTGGAGGAATACGAACATTTCGATTCGATCGCAACTCAAGCCCGCTCCCTCATCCAAACCAATCAGTGTGCCGCTAACGAAAGACAAGGACAACTGAATTTTGTAGAGAAAGGAGAAGGGCAACCGACGCAGCCTGTTGCTGCAGTCCAATCAACTGGCTCAAATGAAGACCCGGCATCGACTTCAAGATGAAGTGAAGGAGACCAAGTCAATGCCCATCCGCCGCGATGCACCAACACAAGGAAGAAAAAGGCGAACACCGCGTCGACGTTGGAAGCTGGACAGCTGGACAAGCCTTGGGAAAAGTTCAAACTCAAAGGAAGAGCAATTCAAGCACCGACAAAAGTGGGGATGCCGCTTTTGGCGCATAAGCACTAAGCACACCCCCTCTCAGTGCCCCGACAAGGGCAAGGAGGATGTTCATCCCAAGCAAAGCTTGGGAAAATGAGTGTTGCAGGAAGTGAGGCGACTTCACTTCCCATTCCGCTAGACACGGTTGCCTTGCTAGCAACCTGCTACACGCCCGGGGAGCATGCGGATGTCACAAATCCTCGCCATGACTTCGAAGACTACGCTGTCCAGCTGGTCCCTCCGTTGGACCAACCCCTCCACGTGCAAGACTTATGCGCATGTGCGGTTTCATCCCCGCCAGCAAGCGACCCAACTTCTTCGCTGTCATTACTATCTTTCGGGGATTCGTCGGTTTGGTCGAGACTCGAGGACCTCAACCCGTTGACTATGGAAGACTTTCGATGGTTGCCTCTTCCCCTGTCTGGTTCCTTGCCAAAACCGCATTGCAACGCTTTGATGGCTGAATTGCACGAGTATTTGCATGCTGCAGTACCACGGAAGACAAAGTAGCGGTTATTGACCTTCACGAGGACCTTGTGAAGATTGACCGGGAGTACGCCACGCCACGATACTACGAAATCGACGCACCTTTGCTCTACATCTGCATTCACATCGGGAAGGCGACCTGTAGTGCCTTGATCGATTGTGGGCCTACTCGCAAAGCCTAGACTTGATGGCACATGCTGGCCTGGGGTCGCGCGTTCGACGGAAGTCGCAGCCCACGCAAGTCACGTTGGGGAACGGTCACACTCACAAGTCCATTGACCGGTGCATTGACGCGGTGCCCATGTACTTTACCCCGCACGCACGCGAGGCCGTGTCCTTCGACATCTTGGACACTAAGTTCGACATGATCTTGGGCATGTCGTGGCTGCGAAGTGAGGACCACCCGGTGAACTTCTATCATCGGATCGTTCACGTTCGTGATCAGAACGACATGCTAGTCCCATGTACGGTTCCTTCACCTCACCCTTCAATTGGTTGTTACGTGGTTTCCGCAGCGAGCATTCGCAACTCATCGCACAACACGACATTGAAGAAATGGGCCTTTGCTTCTTGCATGCCATCCCTCCATCAGACGAGCCAGCATCGGCAGTGCCACCAGGGCCACGAATTGTTGAGCTTCTTGACTTCATCGGCAACGTCTTCGAAGCCCCCGCCGGAATTGTACCGGATCGGCCTATCTGCCACGAGATCATCCTCGAGAACGGGGCCATACCTCCGCGTGGTTGTATCTACTATATAAGCGAGGAGGAACTTGAGTACCTTGAGGTGCTTCATACGCAACTCGACAACCTCATTGCAAAGGGTTGGATTCGCCCTAGTTGCTTGCCCTACGGTGCACCCGTTCTCTTCGTCCGGAAGAAGAACAAGGACTTGCGGTATGCATTGACTACCGCAAGCTTATCGCGCAAATCATTAAGAATGCAGACCCGCTCCCACGCATCGACGATCTTCTCGAAGTTGGACCTCAAATCCAGTTATTACCAAATCGTGATCCATCCGCGAGATCGGTACAAGACCGCGTTCAAGACACGGTATGGGCACTTCGAGTGGCTCCTAATGTCATTTGGCCTCACAAATGCCTCAACTACTTTTCAAGCTGTAATACGGCGGAGTTTTGTGACATGTTGGACCGGCTCGTGCTCATCTACCTCGACGACATCTTGGTTTATAGTCGGACCTTGGACGAGCACCTCGCGCATCTACGCATTGTTTTCGAGAGGCTACGTAAGGCCAAGTAGAAGGCTAATTGAGCCAAGTGCGCGTTCGCCCAACAAGAGGACCAATACTTGGGTCACTTCGTGACGCTACAAGGCATCCATTTGCTTGAGGATAAAATTTAGGCCGTGCAAGATTGGCCAGAACCCACCAACACCACGGAGATTCGCTACTTTGTGGGATTGGTCGGGTACTATCAACGCTTCATCAACGGATACACACAGATCGCCTCACCTTTGTCACGACTTCAGTCTTTGAAGGTGCTCTTCCACTTCACCGACGACGTCCAAAGTTCGTTCCACAAACTCAAGACGGGGATGCTCATGGCTTTCGTTTTGAGCATCTGCAATCCCACCTTGCCTTAGAAGAGTGACTATGGACACTTTCGGCTACGACATTGGTGCAATCTTGGAACAGCAAGATGGCACTCGGTTGAATACAAAATGTGCCCCCCATCAACTCGCTTGATGGTGCAAGGAAGGAGGAGTTCCTGGCGTTCGTCGCAACACCTCCTCCTCGGGCGTCGTAGGTTCACTTGGGTAATGGACAACAACCCATTGACGTACTACAAGACACAAGACACGGTGAGTAGCATGATAGGAAGATGGATATACTTCATCGACCAATCTGACTTCACGCCGAAGCACATTTCGGGTCTCTCCAATCGAGTAGCGGATGCTCTTTCGCGGAGATTCGACCTTTGCGCATTAATCCACCACGCCTTCGACTTCGATGAAGACCTACATCAACATTTTGTACGCTCATAGACAAATCCGGACTACCCACTCTCTATGAGCAGCTTTCTTCGAACCATCTGTCGGCTAGCCACCACCGCATTGTCAACGAGTACTTGTTTCTCCATTCGCAAGGCAAGGACTTGTTATGCGTCCCACGAGACAGTCGATTACGGAGTCGCCTCCTTGGTGAGTACGACGATTCATGGCTCGCCGAACACTTCGGAGTTAGTCGGGCGATCACTCGACTTCGCCAACGATTCCGATGGTCCGACGTTATCACCGACGTCACACGGTATTGTGAATCTTGCAAGTTTTGTCGACACAACATCCCGCAACAACAACCCTTACGACGAGTTGCGCCCGTTGTCAATCCCTCGGGAACCCGGATTGTCCATTGCCATGGACTTTACCGGACCCTTCCCACGAGATCGCCTCGGGCACGGTATCCTCACAGTCGTTGAACGACTAAGTACGCACGGTTTCTTTCTTGCAAGTATCATGCGACGGCTTCCTAGCTCACGAGACTCTTCCACCGGCTGGATTTGCAGCCACGACGTTCCGGAAGACATCGTTATCAATCGCGATACTTGATTCATGCCGACATTTTGGGCATCCCTCATGAAGGAATCCGGCACCAAAATGAAACCGACTTCGGCTCGGCACCCACAAATGGATGGGCAAAGAGTGCAAGCACATCAAACCGCTGAAATGATGTTTCATACGTTCATCCGTCCGGACCAAAAAGACTGGGTTGACCACCGCCCCGACATTGAATTTTCCTAGAACACTTTATTGCAACCAGTGATTGGAGTGACTCTCTTCGAGTTGCACCATGGTGGTTCGAAAGATCGTATCTTCGCAAACTTCTATTCCCTCGGACAACCGACATTAACGTGCCTTGCTCTCCTGCCTCCCTTCATAAGTACCCGGACTTTTAACGTGCCTTGCTCTCCTGCCTCCCTTCAGAAGTACCGGGACTTTTAACGTGCCTTGCTCTCCTGCCTCCCTTCAGAAGTACCGCGACTTGCTGGGTTTCCTCGGAGGAGTTCGCACGTGAACAAGATGTCTCGTGCAAGCTCCTCCCCAAGTGGTTTGGACCATGGACCGTCACATCAGCCGCGGGCGACAAGCCCGATTGCCAATCATTTCTGCTTGACATCCCGCCATATCTAACGGTCCACCCGATCTTCCACGCCTCCAAGCTGGCTACATACACAGCAGCCAAGAGCGACAACTTCCCGGGCCGGCAATCGCAAGACCCTCCTTCCATGGATGGTCACCAGGAAGTTGATCGGGTTCGTCACACACCGCAAGCATGGCAATAAGCCAATGCAGTACAAGGTCACCTTCGTATAGTGCGACAGCGATGGCACAAAATGGATTTCACGAGCAGACTTGCAAGTTTCCGCACCGCTTATCAGTGCAAATTTTGAGAATTAACGACTAGCCGAGGAGGTTTCACAACCTGCCCCTCCACCCGGACCTTGATCCCTCCCTCCGATAGATAGCTTTGCCCTCGCAGGTAGGCCCGGTCCTTCAAGGAGAGGGGGTTGCGGCATACTTAGTTCCACACGGGCCCCGCAGGGCCCGGCAGTAGGGTTAGGGGTCTCGTAGGGCTTAGGGTCAGTGTCACCCGTAGGAGCCAGTAGGCCACTATCTCGTTTTGCCAGCTTCTCGTGAGGTTCCTGCTTTTGGCATTAACCAGACCTCTGCATATTGGCGTCAGTCTCCTTCTGCTGAGAGAGAGAGAGAGAGAGAGAGAGAGAGAGAGAGAGAGAGGGACTCGGTGACATTCGGGCATCACCAATTCAGTGACAGTGTGACTTGACATTGTGTGAGCAGCGACATTGGGGATACATGGAGACTGGGTCCATCGGGCTATGGTGACTGATACTCCCTATCTCCCTCTTCCCC